AAATTTCGGTTCCTTGCAGGTTCACTGTACTGAGGTTTGACGGTATATGTGTTAAAACAAAATTACAGGAAAATGAGAATAAAAGTGTGTGTGATTAGAAAGTACCCCCCCTCCCCCTGTGCCTCATCTTAGAGATTTTTTTTTCTCTATATAATGTCACCAAAATGTATTTTTTGTTTCCTAAATAAAATTCGAAGTTGTGTTCATCATTGAATACCTTTTCAAAGGTATAAATTTTGAAACCTTTATATTAATTACCTCTCAGAAATTCAGTATTTTGACAAATGTAAAAGCAAAGTATTAATTAACCTGTTCTATTTGATGTGATAGGCATTACGAGAGGCTCATGCAAAGTTCCAAGCATCTTTGAGCTCTGCACAAGCCGATTTTGAAGTATTAGCAGCTCTGGATCAGCAGATAAAGTCCTTCAATGTCGGGGGTAATCCTTATACTTGGTTCACTATGGAAGCATTAGAGGATACTTGGCGCAATCTTCAAAAGATCATACAAGTAGGTTTCACATTTAACTTTTTGCTAAATAATTTTTTTTTTCCTTTCAAATATTCTGTGTAATTTTTGATAACACTTGATATGTTCATTTAGGAAAGAGATGTAGAGCTTGTTAAAGAAGACCAAAGACAAGAAGAAAATGATAGATTAAGAATTGAGTTTGCAAAGCATGCGAATGCTTTTCACCAATGGCTCACAGACACAAGGTAAACAATTTTCATAACAACTCGAATGAGAGATCTATCTGCACACTGTCTATTTAATTAGTTAGAAATTTCATGGCTCTCGTAACGTTTATAATAAGTGCTTATTTTTGATTTTCGTTTTTTAAAAGCCCTTAAAGGTGCTTTTCTCATTAGATGTTTCGTAAAAGTAGTGAATTTTTCTATTTAACATTTTCACTATTCATTCAACCACAATCTATTTCGGCATCCTGTTGATCCATAGCATTGAAAGCACCAATCATTTTAGATGTTTGATTAAATATTTGAGAGTCCGCATGTGCGTCTACTGAGCTGAAGTCAGTGAGATTCTAGCACTCTCATGTGCAACTCTGCTGCATTTTGCAAGATATTCTCAGTTTCAGGCTTCGTTTTCCCCCCTCTGATATCGTACCAAGAAATCTCTCTATCTTTTTATGGTGGCTAATATAATCAAGAAAAAGAGTTCTTTGTCAGAAACTAGTTATTTTATCATGATCATGTAAAGTCTTTGAAAATTATTTTGCATTTTGTTAATGTATATGGTGCTTAAAAATATTTTTTTAGTTCGTAAAAAATAGTTTAGATGTGCTTATTTATTGTTGAGAGATTTGGCTATACACCCTGTTTAAGCAAATAAAAGTTCTAAAAACAATGAATCTTAATCAGAACAAATCCATGGGGAAATGTGTGGTTTACACCAAAATTTCTGCTCAAATCACATGACTTTTTATTTGCGTGATTCTTATGAGCCTGTCTTACTTAT